CGACCACTTTGTATGCTCGACACATCAGGGAAACTGCTGGAACGACTACTAAAACCGCGTATAGCAGCATCCATTGAGAGCGCTGGGGGACTATCCACCAGACAGCACGGTTTCCGGCCAGGAAAGTCCACCATTGGAGCTATCGCTGATGTGGCGGCAACCGTAGAAGCCGCACAATGTGGAAATGCTTACTCGAAGCGTATCGTGAAAAGGCTTCAAAGGCCTCAGCGTCCTTAAGCAAGCTAATGGCAAACGTTGGCGGCCCAACAGAAGACAAGCGAAAACTGCTAATGACAGTTGTGAACGCGATTCTGCTCTACGGTTCTGAAGTATGGTCTAATGCATTACAGATTAACCAGAAGCGAAATGCGCTCGAAAAAATCCAGAGAACAACGGCACTCAGGGTAGCATCTGCATACCGTACGGTTTCAGGTGCGGCGGTCCTTGTTATAAGCAGCTCAATACCCATCGACCTCATGGCCATGGAACGGAGGCAAGCATGGTTAAGCCGCCAAAGCAACGAAAACAGCAGCGTAGCTACAAATTATCGGGAACACACAATGATAGAGTGGCAAAGTCGGTGGACTAACGAAACTAGTGGTAGGTGGACTGCAAGACTCATCCCGGACTTAGTCGCCTGGACCACAAGGAAGTTCGGCGAGGTAAACTATTACCTGACACAATTCTTCTCCGGGCACGGGTACTTCGGCAAATATCTGTACCGGATGAATATTCGAGAGGAGCAGAGTTGCATCTATGGCGATGCTGATGTCGACGATGTAGAACACACGTTTTTTGAATGCAATCAATGGTTAATCGAGAGAACCAACCTGCAAGCACAGATAGGCGGCATTTGGACCCCGGAAAATGTAGTACCCTTACTACTAGCAAGTGAAAACAACTGGAACGTGGTGGCGAGGCACGTGGAGGCAGTACTTCGCGCAAAAAAGAGGCGCCTGGACGCAGGTACAACAGCAGCGACGTAAGATTATATCTTACAATCAGGATGTGCATGACCTGAAACAATACCTAGTGGTGGTTCCGGGTCATGTGCTTCATCCTGGAAAGGGGAGTTTTTTAGCATGTCAGCGATTAGCGCGAACCGTGCACTACCCACAGAAAGACGTTTTCTGCGGGTGTGTGTAGACATTTTTTGTTCCCCAGCCTCGAAATACAAAAAAAAATTATTATTATTATTATTATTATTATTATTATTATTATTATTATTATTATTATTATTATTATTATTATTATTATT